ATCCCAAACTGTTAACTCTGTCAAGTAGCTATAATCACCTCCCCAGACCAACAGAAATGACTAAATGTTGTAGTAAACCTTCCTACATTAGAATGAACTCTTCCTCCTCTCATAAATACTAACTGCGAGACTTCTTAGGGCAGTCGTTGAGCAGCTGAGACGCAGTGTAACCTGACCGTTCGGACGGACACTTGTATCTGCTTATTAACACTCTTGCTTTGTATATATCTGTTATTTCAATAGACTTGTTCAACCTACCTTCGCCTTCTGTGTCTTTCTTTTCTGGCCCCTAACCAGGCCACAACACTAAATGAACGATTATAGCTTATCTCAAAATACACGCGCGAAAATATGTTTTACTGTGTTATTTAAAAATTAAATTCTAAAAAACAATACCTTTTAAAATACAAACATGAATAATGCCAAAATATACAACGGAGATAATGTAACATATTAGAAAAAGGCATCTGTCTATATTTCTGAGATGAGGTATTATGTACATTATTTACATTATTCGGACCATTATCCTCATCTTCGTCGCCATATTCATTACAACGTTTCCGCCTTTCAGTATCTGTCTATATTTCTGAGATGAGGTATTATGTACATTAATTACAATATTCGGACTATTGTCATCATCTCTGTCGCCATGTTAATTACAAGGACACATGGCACAGTGGATAAATGCGTTAGTTAGATCCAGTGAGAAGACTCAAAGAGTTTGAGTTCAATACCCGGTTTAGGCAGTGGAGAACTTACAGAGGGAAATTAACAGGAGATAACTGATAACTGACATCCATTAAACATGGCACGTGGAACTAGAACAGTCTACCCCAGTGAGGGAAATAAAGGGTTCAGTTCGACATTCCAATGACCTGAAGAAGACCGGAGCGTACAACGACCGAAACGTTATAATAAATATGTCGATAATAATGAGGACAATAGTCTGAATAATGTAAATAATGTAGACAAAGGCAATACTGTAATTATTCAAATAAAATAAGCATGGAAAAATATTTAAAAAGGAAAAAATATCAAAATAATAAATAAAGCAACTTAAGTAAATAAGAAACAAATTAACTAACTATGAAGGACGAAAAAAACACGAGCAACTGTGGTAATAATTTTCATAAAAATAATTAAGTAATCAACAATAATTAATGAGTAAAAAGTTAAAAAAAAAAAAACAATGTAATAAAGCTACAAATAACCGAATTCGAATCCACAGTTATTTCTAACCAATAGCATCTAGAATAATTTGAAACATAACCATTACTGCCTAACCCATAATCATTAGGATAATACAACAGACATTAAGAGCGAGAATGCACAGATATATGTAAATATATATATAAATAATCGAGCCAAAACAAAAAAATCACATGACAGGAAGATTGCGTTCAAGCATGAAACATACTGTTATCCGTCAGTGTTTCCTTCATATATATATATATATATATATATATATATATATATATATATATATATATATATATATATATATATTAATGTATTTAGGCAAAATAAATTCCGTAAAATACTTGTCGAAAACACAATTATACTTCGACATGAAAACAATAGACAAAAACTAAAAATCTTTGAAGCATTATACATCAAACAGTTGAAACCCAACCTAAACAAAATCAACTATGGAATCTCTACAAATATCCTTAAATGTCTGTAGTTGGTGACGGAGACCATTGGTTTGTGTCAACGGCTTTCCATACTTCATACTTCTCCAATTCACTCTCGTGTGGTCATGTGTGACGTCATGAGATGCGGTGCGATTTTCGCTTCAAGCGTCTTATATGCATGTGTTTATCGTTGCTTAGAGATCATGTATGTAAACATTCAGAGACTGTCATCACTGTCTTGTCCGTATATTGCTTAATATGTTGTAACTGACATCTTTGATAATGGCTTATGTAAGCCGAAAGCTTAGATTGTATTAAAAAAAATATGGATCAATATTGTGAATTTCTTTCTTCGTTCAATTATAATGTTATTAAACTTATTAGACGTTATGAAAAGAGTTTACATAAAATAAAGAGACAACACTTGTCTATATCATTTAATGAAACGGGTATATATATATATATATATATATATATATATATATATATATATATATATATATATGTGTGTGTGTGTGTATATGTGTGTACAAATGTATCTGTCTATATTTCTGAGATGAGGTATTATATACATTATTTACATTATTCGGACTATTGTCCTCCTTTTTGTCGCAATATTTATTACAACGCTTCGGCTGTTGTACGGTTCGGCCTTCTTCAGGTGGTTGGAATGTCGAACTGTACCCTGTATTTCGCTCAGTGGGGTAGACTGTTCTAGTTCCACGTGCCATGTCAGTTGTTTATTGGATGTCAGTTATCAGTTATCTCCCGTTAATTCCCCCCTCCAAGTTTTCCACTGCCTTAAGCCGGTATTGAACTCACACTCTTTGGGTCCTGTCACTGGATCTAACCAACGCCTTTATTCATTGTGCCATATTAGGACATCTGGGTTTGAATTTCTGGTTTTTTAAAACCTAATATCTTCAGCAACCATTTTTGCTGTTAGCAATTCATTTTTTTACCAGAGCTCATATTGCAATTTTTGTTGTTATCGCTTTTCTCTGGTACACCATATTACTGGTTCCCATATTGTATTCATTTATATGCTTGGTCGGCTTAGGAGATTTTTGTGGCCTAGCATATGTGCTGATTCCTTAAGTTTACGAATTTTCCAGTGGTGTTCTTTGTCTATGATCTCAGTCTGATCCCACAGTGGGCGGTGATCTCCCTTTTCTCTCCATATATGGTCAGCCACGCCTGATTTTCTCACTTCTCCTCGTGTTACAGCTTTCTGGTGTTCTTGAAGCCTTACCTTTACGCAGCTGCACGGAATAGCGTACAGTCGTTAGTCATGTTCTCCTCTATGGTGGGGGGGGGGCGGTCTTACTCGGGAGAGATATCTGCGAAGTGTCGTCCAGCTTTTGAAGGTTGTCCTGATGTTATATGGACGGCCGATCCTTTGTATTGTCTCTGATACAAATGTGTTTACTAATTTCTCATAATAAGACAGTGTGTACGTATGGAGAGGTAATATGCATACATACACGCATGCTGACAAAAACACAAGAAAATGGAAATAGATCGAAGAACACACAGGGGTCATTAAAATATGAGAAAGCCGATAAATTCTTGACCATTTCTCGCACCAATCTTAATTGTTTTAGAATTCTTCATGCAGAACTCTTCACTGCCAGTTCAAGAAAGACATTTGGGTCACTAACACACGAAAAAGAGAATGTCTCATATCGAGAATATTTAACATCGAAAAACATAAGAAAAACATGAATTATTTTTAATGATATGTGGAAATCTCCACACTTTGCCTGATGACGGTCGCGAGACCGGAAGCACGTGTAGCAAAATTATGGAATATGAAGCATAATATTTAAAAGAAAAACCCATATTACAACCAAAAACGTTTGCAGTTTCTCTCTTTTTAATATACGCACTTTTCTCTCGTTAGAACTACTATAACCTCTTCCTTTTATATATATATATATATATATATATATATATATATATATATATATATATATATGTATGTGTGTGTGTGTGTGTGTGTGTGTCTGAGTATATATATATATATATATATATATATATATAGTTTTATTATTTACCAGCTTATTATCCAGCTTTATTATTCACCAGTTTAATGAAGGTGACAGTCCAGATGAGTTACTGGAGATTCCGAAGTCGTCTTGAGGCAGTAGTTGAAGCCAATGGTGATATTATTGAATATATTTACTCTTTAGTATTTTAAGATAGTTTTATGTCATCTTGGTAAATATATCTTTTAAAACGGGATGTCAATGTTCTTTTCATTGCAATAATACAAATACAACATTTCCCACTTAGCTGATTGATGTTATAGTCAGCTCTCCGACTCCAGAGTTCCGTAGACGAACTTTTTTGTAATCGTTCAGTCCACACCTCAAGAGTCTTGAGCATCTGACTGATCGGTCTGTCTGCCTGTGTCCCTCTCTCTTTCTCTCTCACGTTATATATATATAAATATATATATATATAGATAGATAGATAGATAGAAGCGATTGAATAAATAGATATTTGTGTAGATAATGAACAGAGATAGATAGATAGATAGATAAATACATAGATAGTTAGACAGACAGACAGACAGACAGATAGATAGATAGATAGATAGATAGATAGATAGATAGATGGATAAAAACAAGGGATGAAAAAGCCCACACTTTAAGAATTATCAGAAATTGACTCTCTGTCTGTCTGTCTGTCTGTCTGTCTCTCTCTCTCTCACTGTCTCTCTCCCACTCTCTCTCTCTCTCTCTCTCTCTCTCTATATATATATATATATATATATATATATATATATATTTAAATTTATCATCACTTGATAAGACAGCAGAGGTGTTGAAACAAAATGGCTATTTTTGCAGTGATTTTATAACATATTTATGTTATGATTTTTAAATAAATAATTATATTTGCTCTACTCTGTATTGAGCACTTTTTAAGAAAAGTAATTATTGGTTATTGGAATTTATTTATTTATTCCGTATACACTAATCCTATACTTGTATATATATATATATATATATATATATATATATATATATATTGATTGATTGATTGATAGAAGCGATTGAATAAATAGGTATTTGTATAGATATTGAACAGAGATAGATAGATAGATAAATAGATAGATAGATAAATAAATAGATAGATAGATATAAACAAGAAAAGAAAAACGCAACAAGCAAATGGATGTAAAAAAGAAAGAGAATAATTTAAGAGAAAAAATTCAAAGGTCATATCAATGTATGTTCTGATAGAAGCGAGAGAAAAGAGTGAAAAAATTAAGAGGAAAAAGAAAAAAGTCTTAGGTAAAAAGAGAGTGATTAGACAAAGACGTATAGGTAGATAGTGAGAGAGGAGAGAAATTGGCATTCTCTGGTACGAGGGGCCCACTGTCCACACACACACACACACACACACACACACACATATATATATATATTGAGAGAGAGAGAGAGAGAGAGAGAGAGAGAGAGAGAGAGAGAGAGGACCGCCGTTCACATACAAACACACACACAAACACACACACACACATCTCTATCTATATATATATATATATATATATATATATATATATATAGAGAGAGAGAGAGAGAGAGAGAGAGAGAGAGAGAAAGAGAGGGAGTGGGAGAGAAAATGAATGGTAAGGAAGAGCTAAATAGAAATCAGGGAGGAAAAAGAAGAAAAGAAGAGGAAAACAAAAAAGAAGATATGGGGCAGAAAGGAAGAATTGTTAAAAAAGGAGCGGAGAAAGAGAGTCGAGAAACGAAGAAGAAGAAGAAGAAGAAGAAGAAGAAGAAGAAGAAGAAGAAGAAGAAGAAGAAGAAAAGAGTAATGACAAATAGAGGAATTGGAGAGAGGGAATCGTAGATAAGAAAGAAAGAAAGAAAGAAAGAAAGAAAGAAAGAAAAATAAAGAAAAATAATGAAAAGGAGGAATCAAGTTTTGAATAAATGGCATTTTCACTTCGGAATAAAGGTCAAGAAGATCTTAATTATCTCGAAGTAGAAACTTCGGCTATAACCAGTTACGCGGGCTTATTGTATCCAGCATTTTGAGCCCTAATAGGGACTTGAATGTCACTGATCCATAATAAAGTATTCAGATGATACGGTGTTCTTGAAGAGAGACTCAGAAAGAAAACAGGAAGAACTGTAAAAGAATGTTGCAATGAAAAGCATGAAGCAAAGACTAACTACCAATTGTCAGCAAAACAGAATGCGTAGTTACCAGCAAAACACATACCTTAAATTCGAAGGCGTAAAGGCATTCTGACAAAGAAACTAAGCAAAGTATAAAGATACAGGAAAATGTCGTCAGAAACAACGAAAAAAAATGATGAACTCTTATGTAATATGTACTCTTTCGTATTGCAGTGAATGCTGGACAATCCTCTCACATATGACGAAAAGACTTGAAGTGACAGAGATTTAGTTCAACTGACGATTTGATTTTTTTTATTACAGGTTATCAACCCATTGTTTGTTTTTTAAAGCTGAAACATATTTTTTGGATTTTACGAATAATTCTTTATTTTATTTTATTTTTTTGCGACTGATTATTTCATTAAAATTTTTTTGAGAATAGCAATGATTTTTCAAGATATAAGTCTTGCTATTTAACCCATAGCTTGGGGAAGGAGATGGATTCATATTTTTCCCAACGGTATTTGCGCGTAAGGTGATGTAACAAATACGACCGCAGCTGTCTGATTTCTCATTCCTTGTTGCTATCTATTACACCACCCACGAATTCCGGGATATAAAGGCAGAGCATACCATCAAGTCAAGGAAACCTATACTTAAAATCAGAAAAAGACAGCTGAAATTTATGGGATACATAATGAGGAAGGAACGCTTGAGGAATTTAACACGCACAAGATATATTAAAAGCATCACAAAACCGAAAGAAACAACAAGTAACGTACATGATGCGAAATACTGTTAAAGAGTAATGGAGAATTCTGATAATCCTGACGGTAGCTCGTCAAAAATCTCCACGGAACTGTATTTGTAAAACATCACTTACGAGTAGAAAGGAGGTTACAAAAAAAAAAAAAAAAAAAAAAAAAAGACAACGTTTGCTGTCATTTACTTAGTTTAGTCTGACACAATGTCAATTTTAGTCGCAGATTGTAAATCTAAATCCAGCCTTGTGGCCGGAATCTGGAATACGCCAACGGTATCAACGATAAAGGAGTAAGACCTCTACCAAAAAGGTGCCGTTTGTCAGGTAAATGAATCCAGACATAAAAAAGTGTCATGTTTACCTATTTTCGAACCAAATAAATGATTACAGATTAAAATATAAAAGACCAATATTTACTCCACCCAGGAACAAGTAAATACCTAGAGACTCAAATATGAAGGACCGATATATACCTATTCTCGAACCAAATAAATGCTTAGAGACTTAAATATAAACGACAAATATATACCTATCCTCGAACCAAGTAAATACCTAGAGACTCAAATATAAACGACAAATATATACCTATTCAAGAATGATGGACCAATATATACCTATTCTCGAACCAAATAAATGCGACTCAAATATGAAGTACCAATATGTGCCTATTCTCGAACCAAATATTTACCGAAGCGATATTTATCCCCGAACCTAGTAAATGGTTATATACTCAAATATAATCAACTAATATTTACTGGTCCATAAACCAAGCAAACGCTAATAATCGGTCAATACAAAATGAATGCATATAGATTCAAATATAAACAACCAATATTTACGTTCCCAGAACCAAGTAAATGTTTAAAGACACAAATGTAAACGAAAATTATCATATCACTGAAAGAAGAAAATTCTTACAGCCAAAGTCTACGCAAAATGAGAATTCAGAAAGCCTTGTTGAAATTCTAGTCGGGTTGGTTACATTCGTTAACGCGCAAATAACCATGCGAAAGGCAAGAATTCATCTCTTGCTGCCCTTGGCTATAAGTTGAATAACAGGAATGACTAGGTCCTACAGGTTTCGTTTAGCAGCCAGTCAAACGCATAAAGAAACGGCAGCCTACTGCGGGAACAACTTCTGCCTAGTCAGTCATGAATCGAAAGAGACTTGATCACCCAAGCGTGAAACACATATGACACTTTACTGTCTGACTGATAAACGACCAATATTTATCAACTTCCGAGACAAATAAATGCTTATAGGCTCGAATATAAACGAACACTATTTACCTATCCACAAACCAAGCAAATGCTTATTGACACAGAGAAAAATGACGCAAATTTACCTATCCCCAAATCAATTAAGTGCTTATAGACAGAAATATAAACAATCAATATCTACCTACTCCTCCCCAAAGCAAGTAAATACACATGGACGCATATATAAACGACCAACATTTACCTAAGTCCGAAAGAAGTTAATGTGTACAAACATATATATATATATATATATATATATATATATATATATATATATATATATATATATATATGATCAATTTTACCATTCCAAGAACCAATTAAATGCTTACAGGCTCATATATAAACGATCAATGTTTACCTATCATCGAAAAAATAAAATGCTTATAGACTAAAATATAAAAAGAATGATTTTGATATAAACAACACAACAAGTATTGATACGTTATAAAATCAATGAACTTGACCCAATGATGTTTATAAGGAAAACAATTCCGGATTCTCTAACAAAAGATATAAGGTCTATAGTTCCATTTTCCCGCGTCTAATCCTGTTAGTGAATGAAGGTTTTTCTTATTGGCATAGTCGTCTGTAATCAGTCAGTTATGTGCTATGCACGATAAACGCTTAGGCGAACACCTATCTTTCGACGAGGCAATTTTTTCCCGCAGCAGGTTGACATTTCTTTCTGTTTTATCCTGCTGTTTACCCATAGTTTGGCGGAGAAGAAGATTCATAGCTTTCACAAGAATATTCGCACGTAAGTGAATGTAATGGATTCGACTGGAATTGGAACACGTCTCTCCGATACTCCAATCAAAGCCGCTACCCATTGCGGCACCGTGCATCCTATATTCTGTTATACTTTTTCTTTTTGTTATTTTCTTTTAGTTTTCGTACTTAGAAATATTCATGTTTGTGTGAACACATGCAGATGAACAATATAAAGAATAGGCACCGATAAATTAATTTTGGAGGGTGGGTGGATATAATCCCTTGATAATCGACATTCGAACATTTTGATTTTACAACAAATATCTCAGCCTTAAGACAGCCTGCCTCATATATATATATATATATATATATGAAAATTTTTCCGATTTAACCAGTAGAGAAGACAATATAATATTTACGAATAAAAATGACAATAGGAAAACTAGTAATTGCTTGCCTATTTTTAGAATTTCTAGTGACTCATTTAAACATATTCTCCCTACAAACTCTTCATATTTCAGATATATAGACGACTCATTATTAATATTTCCAAAAAACACCAATTTAACAGATCTTCTCTCTAAACTTAACAACATTGAACCTACAATAAACTTCACTTTCGAAACTGAAACCAACTACACTCTTCCGTTCCTGGACATTTTCTTAATTAGAAATAATAACGAACTAAATTTTGACGTTTACAGAAAGGCTACAAACAAAAATGATCTGATCAACTTCTACTCAAACCACTCTTCAAAAATTAAATCTGGAATTATTATAGGTTTCTATCTAAGAGCAGTAAGAATCTGTAGTCCCCAATATTTACTTAAAGAAGAAACATACATACAAAACTCATTCAAAAACCTACAATTTCCATATCATTTCATCCACAACGCAAGAAGAAAGGCATAAAATATATATATATAAACGAAACTAAACTAATAACATAATCCGCAATAGTAAATCACATGAAAACAGATGTATAATACTACCGACCAACTCTGTCACGTTCACTATCCAGAATAACCTATCCCATCTAAATAATCTTGAAATAGTCACAAACACTTCCCAAACCATTATGGATATACTAAGATCTTCAAACACTAACATCAAAAAATATTTCTGAAGCAGGTATTTATAAAACAAATTGCCAAAACTGTTCCTCCCAATATATTGGAGAAACAAACAGAAATTTAAAAAAAAAAACGCATTTATGAGCACAAAAATGACCTCACGAAAAAAAAAAAAAAAATAGCTAATGCACTAGTCATATATAGAAATAAATTCAACCATAATTTTGATTTTAAAAATGCTACACTCATAAAAAAAAAGAAAATAACTCACTCAGAAGGGAAATTCTGGAGAGTGCCGCCATAGAATATTATCCAAATATTAATCTACGCCCAGGTTTTTTTCACCATTTCACCTTTCTTAACAAAATTACTGCTCTCACAAACAAATATACACAACATTCATAAAATCAAAAGAAA